CCTTTCTCTTTCGCTCTCTCTCCTATCTCTCTCGCTCTCTCTTTTTCTCTGTCTGTCTGCCTGTCTATCTTTCTCTCTCTGTCTGTCTGTCTATCTCCCTCTGTGTCTGTCTGTCTGTCTGTCTGTCTGTCTCTCTCTCTGTCTATCTCTCTCGCTCTCTCCGTCTCTTGCTCCTATCTCTCTCTCTCTCTCTCTCTCTCTCTCTCTCTCTCTCTCTCTCTCTCTCTCTCTCGCTCTGTGTGTGTATATATATATATATATATATATATATATATATATATATATATATATATATATATAAAATATATATATATGATATATATAATTATAATCATATATATATATCATATATGTTGTTATATATATATATATTATATATATATATATATAATATGTGTGTGCGTGTGTGTGTGTGTGTGTGTGTGTGTGTGTGTGTGTGTGCGTGTGTGCGCGTGTGTGTGCGTGTGTGTGTGTGTGTGTGTGTTCGCGTGTGTGTGCGTGTGTGTGTGTGTGTGTGTGTGTGTGTGTGTGCGTGTGTGCGCGTGTGTGTGCGTGTGTGTGTGTGTGTGTGTGTGCACGTGTGTGTGTGTGTGTGTGTGTGTGTGTGTGTGTGTGCGTGTGTGTGTGTGTGCGTGTGTGCGCGTGTGTGTGTGCGCGTGTGTGCGCGTGTGTGTGTGTGTGTGTGTGTGTGTGTGTGTTCGCGCTGTTTGCCAGGTTACACCCTGTAGCATGTAATGTACACCCGATCCGTTCATGATAGTTTATCGGTTATCCTGGAGTCCTGTTTCCCACTTTGGATCAGCTCACTGATGGCTTCTACAGGCTAATTATTATGCTTTTTCAGCTTCGAGTGTAGATCTATATGTGAGACAGCGTAGTGGAATCAGGCTCTCGTCAAAATAACCAAAGTAGAGAAACTTGCATTTTTCCACAGGTTTGTGAATTTTTATCTAATTTTTGTTTTTTGGCTCAACACCTTTCATGCCCATTAAAGAACTCATTTCTGTGTGGATTTTCCTGAAAAACGTTGATTAAAAGCACAAAAAAGTAAATTTTCAGTTACCACGGACTCATATGCTAAGGAAATAACTAATCTTTGGCGGTCATTTTCTCACTAATTTTACCTCTGAAAACAGGCGACCTCCACTTCCTTCTTTTGCAAATATCTCGACTTGTATTCAAGATAAATGGATATTTTTTTCATCCAAAATAAAGACAAGTGAACAAGCTTTAAGATGATACCAATAACTCTACATGCCCAAAAATTGACGAGAGCCTGATTCCACCACGCTGCCTCACATATCTATCTTCTGCGTGTACTGGGATGCATAAAGTAAACACACGCACTTACCATTGCAAATTAACTCTGCCGTAAAGGCAAGTAAAAAAAATAAAATAAAACTAAACTAAACAAAACAAACACAAAACTTCGATTTGTAGGGCAGGAGTCGAAGCGAGGGGGTGGGGATGGGGGGGGGGGGGGAGGATATGGACACTGGTTCCATGTGCGAGTAGTAATATTATATTCTAATGATTAATTTATGGACTCTGCAACGTTTACGGCGTCGGTAGTCTAGTGGTTAGGCTACAGGACACTTGATCGTGAGGTGAGGTTCTGACGTCTGTGGTCTTGTGGTTAGGCAACCGGGCTTGTAATCGTGAGGTTGTGGCGTCGGTGGTCTAGTGGTTAGGCTACCAGACTTGTAACCGCGGTTTCCTCAGGAGTTTGAGGTCCGGTCTGACCCGACGTTGTGTCCTTGGGTTGTGCACTTCACACGAATGTCCCCCTCCCTTCACATAGGTGTGAATGGGTGCCCGGATGTAGACACCGAAAGATCTTGTCAATATGTTCATCCTCATCCGGTGCCTAACTGACTGACGTGGCGATCATGGACCTCCACTTCCATCTGTCTTGCGTTGCAGCGATGGTGTCTGTTGTTTTTGCTGCTCCCAGCCATGCTGTCAACTTTTTCAGTATCTTTTCCCACTGTCTGCCTCTGCCTCTGTTAATATGTTAGTGTTGGTGTTTTACCGCCTATATGTTAATGGCAGCCCTAGTTTATTAGGCTTCCCTTAACGCCGAGAATGTTTTCTAAGTGTTCTAGGGTCTGCAGGGGTACCGGTGGATTGATAGTTGCAATAAGCGCATCAAACATGCCATAGAGCAGAGGTATCAAACTCAGTCACGCAGAAAGGGGGGGGGGGCAAACATTTCTAATTACACTTAATTAATTAAGACTTAATTGTCATGTTGCAAGTCAAACTCGATAAACACTCTTTGAGCTGTGGGAATCAAAACCTTCTTAAAAGAGTAGTAGGAATTAGAGTAGACAAAAGTTGAAATAACCCCAGAACAAGAACGTCAATTTTGGCTCTTTGGTCAACTTGTCAGAGCTGGATGTCCAGCATCCTGTCTTGGCAACAAGTTCGTTTATGTTTGGAGTGAGGTTTTGTGCTTTGGAAATTTTCAAGATGGACTACCCAAAATTCTCTCGCGGGCCGAATATAAAGGTTTATCGGGCCGGATGCAGTCAGCAGGCCTTGAATTTGACACATGCACCATAGTATAAATGTAATTATTTCGCAGCGTCAGTGTTATGCTAACAAACTCGTATTTGTGAGATTGTGGGTTCGAGGGGTTCGAGCCTCAGCTCGGCCCAATGATTGTGGCCTTGGGAAAGGCACTGTACACAGATACTCTTCCTCCCCCTCCTCCATCCTCACCTCCCCCGCCTCTTACCCCACTCAGGAGTAAATGGGTACCCGGCTATAGAGAGAGAAAGAAAGATCTTGTCAATTAATGTTTTAGCGCTGTAAAATGGCAGCTTGCGCATAATTCTTTTTCCCGGGAAGCCGAGAATTAATGTTTCTGAATGTTTTAGGATATCCTGGAGTAACGCATGTAATACATGTAGTTTTGTGACGCGAGCATAGCATGCTGAGTAACATGGGTAGGCATATGTGCGCTGTGTAAATGCGTAGTAGTAGTAGTAGTAGTAGTAGTAGTAGTAGTAGTAGTAGTAGTAGTAGTTGTTGTTGTTGTTGTTGTTGTTGTTGTTGTAATGTTACTATTTAGGGTCATCGTCTAAAAAACCCATAAAGCTTACTAAAGATCGCCCACCAGATGTTCTGCCCTTCATAGGACTGGTAAAACGTAATTGTAGACGCGTTACGCCCTGGTCAATGTAATCAGTTAATTAAGAGGCAGGTTGCTCCTCTTTTTTAGAGTAAGAGTTTTGCAGCACTTGCAATACAATTAGGTCATATAAGTGCCGAAGATTAGAGGTATTACAAGAGAGTAACAAACATAAAAATGAAGGAGGAGAGATATAGAAGATAGTTGTTTGATAGGAAAGAAGGAGCAAACCACACCAGAGCACCCACCAACCACCCAGCTATGACCTGCCAGTCAAAGTCAACCTTGGATAAGAGGGATATAACGATACTACGTTCCAGCAGAAAGGCGGAGATAGTCAATGAGAATCCCCCTTGTCCATAATCGAACTCGGGTCCTCTGCGTGCGACAGCCAAACAACTGTCTACTACACAACAGACGTCTGTGATAAGATAGCTAAGAGAGAAAAAAAAACAATAGATCAGTTGGAACAAAGTGTACCTCTACATTACCCCCCCCCCTCCCACACACACACACACACACACACACACACACACACACACACACACACACACACACACACACACACACACACACACACACACACACACACACACACACACACACACACACACACACACACACACACACACACACACACACCTCCCATCCCCGTTTTCCTCTTTCTCCTTTTCAACCTTTTTTCACTGGCGTCTCTGGCATATCGACAAAGATCAACATAACAAGATAGTTCACTCTGCCAAAAAAGTGTCAGCGGAAGTCCGCGCTTTGGTTCAGATGACGCTGCAGTCTTTGTTTTGAAGCTCTCTTTCGTTTCTTCAGAACAATAATAGAAATAGCACAGTTTGTTAATTTCACTTGTATTGTTTTTCACACAAGGAGGGTAACTCTATTCGCAAAGTCCGCACTCTTTCGAAGAGGGCATCATCGAATTTTGAGGACATTTTTTAAATTGGCTCAAAGAGAGGAGTGAACTATCTTGTTATACACGGTCTTTGGAAGCGGTAAGGCGCTTGCTACGCGTCGCACGTTGGTGGAGACTCGATATCGATTCCCGAATTTTGAGAAAATTGTTATCAAGTATCTCGGTCTTTCTGCTAGGATGTTGTATCCTTCTCAGCCTTGGTGTGTCCTGATTAGCAGGGTCGGAAGCCTGCCCCCTAAACTATCTAAATCGTGTGGATGAGGACGTAAAACACCTACATTATTTTATTATTATATTTTTTTAATCTCCTTCCATCTCTTAAATATTACACAAGTATATACATGTATTTTGAAATATAAACATACGTGTATCTCTGTATAACTCTAAAGGTCTGTGATAAATTCCTGCATGTGTTTGAATGATCCATCTGACGTGATAAGTGTTTTATTGTCAGCTTTACTTTTCTCTTCGAATTGAATTTTAATGAGAGTGATAAATTATATATCTGTGTATATCTAGCCTACATGTGTTTTTTCCATTCCTGTACAGCCAAGAAAAAGTTCTCACTCGGACAATAAAGTATTATCTCATCTCATCTTATATTATCTTTCTTCTTCTTTTTCCTTGTTGTTCTCGGTGACAGCAGCTAGACAGTCAGTCCGATGTCGCGCACAAACTGTGCAGTCCGCTTGGCTTCAAATCTGAGAGACTGCCATGGAGCTTTCTCTCAAGGGGAGTCACATTCTGCCAAGTCTGTGTGCTAAGGGTGGCGTAGCGCGGGCAGTGCTGAAGGATATGGTTGGCATCCTCTTGGTCGTGTCCACATTCACAAATCGCGGACTCTCCCACTTTTAATTTAGTTTGCATATGATATCTTTATCTCATATCATCTTATCTCATATTCTTATCTTATCTTGTCTTATCTTATCTCCCCCACAGTCCACATCAAAAGCGCCAAGAAGGCGGGGCCTATACCACGTGACTCCATCGACTCTGCAGCTTCCTGTGCCAGCGTCAGTTCCGGTAGCGTGACGTCACGGAACGATTCAGGGCTGGGGTCTGTCAGCTCGCACACCTTGGAGCCTCGGTCAGGTACTTGTTGGCTTAGATCTAGTTGTTACGGAGATTTTAACTTTTGCGCGTAAATTTCAATAAAATGTTGTTTATTAATTAATTAATTCGACACATTTTATTGAAACTACCTTTAGCTTTTTCAATTTAGAGTGTCATTTATGAGGAGCATTAGCCACCAGAGCTTGGAGGCTTCTTGCAAGCAGAACTAAAACATGTTAATTAGATATCTAACACAATTTAGTTCCTATTGTAGTAGAAGTACAAAAAAACAAACAATGAAAAATATATAACGAAATAAAATAACATCACTCACAATCTTAAGAGGAGGTCAGCGCTGTCAGAATGCACAAAAAAAACAACAACGCACGAACAAACGGACGAACAAAAAAACAACAAAGAAACAAACAGACAAACAAACAAATAAACTAACAGACCAACGAACAAACCAACAACACTCCACACAATCACCTTTCAATACAGCAGCCT